CCGCGCGGGCCGCCGGCGCCCGCCGCGGCCCGCCGCGTACCCGTCCAGCCGTTGGCGTTCTCCCGGCCCACGTTGGCGTTGTGCCGCAGCAGCACCCGCACCGACTCCAGGTGGCCCAGGGACACGGCGAGCTCCAGCGGCGTGCGCCCGCGCGGGTCCGTGAGCTCCACGTCATGCTGCGGCCGACGGCGGCACTCACCGCCGCTGCCGGGCCCTGGGCACCTCCTGTCCGCCCAGCTGCTGCCCCTGCCCCCGTGCCAGCTCCTCCCGTGCTGCTTGCCAGCCCCACGGGACTCCCATGGGCCCCAGTCCCTCCATCGTGCAGGCTCCCAGGCTCTTCTGGTGGCCCCTGTCCCCCGACTCCCATCCCTCGGGCCCCCAAGTCCTCCTGCTCCCTAGCCCCAGTCCCCCCAGTCTCCTTCCTCCAGTGCTCCTACTGCCTCCGGGTGCCGACTCCCCCAGTCCTCCCAGTCCCCCTGTCCCAGTATCCCCAGTCCCTCCCAGTGCCTCCAATGCCCTGTTCTCCCAGCCACAAAGTGCTCCCTGTCCTCTAATATTCCAGTCCCCCACCTCAGTGTCCCAGGACCCCCGAGCGCTCCCACTGCTCCCAGCCTCCCAGTCCCCCAGTATCCCCGTGCCCCCAGTCTCCCTGTTTGTCCAGCGCCCTTATCCCCGTGCCTCAGACCCTTCCAGTGCTCCCAGTTACCCCAGCCCCCCATCCCTGCGCTCTAAGCCCCGCAGTGCTGGGGTTGCCCAGTCCCCAGCTCCCCAGCACAGCGCGCTCAGCCTCCCCCTTCCTCCCCTTTCCCAGCGCTCGCAGTCCTGGGATAACCCCACGCCTCCGATGCCCGGCGCCAGCCCTGCTCCCCTGCTCGGCCCCTTGCCCACGGCTCCCTCCTGCACTCCCCGGTGCCCCCAGGAGCTCCCGGTCCCCYGTCTCTCCATTCCCTGCCTGGTTCCCTGGTCATTCCCTGCTCCTCCGTCTCCCCAAGCTCCCGGTTCCCCCAGTTCTTTGCTCCTCCATCTCCTATGGTTCCCATGCTCCCGGTTCCCCTGGCTCCTCCGGTTCCCCCCGTCTCCCCCAG